ACACAAGCATCCCTGTTGGGAAACTACAAGTGCGTCAGCATTTTTCTTCACCGAAACGCTTTGTTTGGAGAAAAAGTAAAAAACTTTTAAGCAAAGTACATTTCTGAGTACAACTTGTGGATGGCTTCGTGCTCAAATATTTATTTTCATAATTGGCCGTCGAAAGAATAAAGTCCTGAAATTCAAGAATACTGATAGCAAGTAACATTACAAACAACAAACAGTAAAGTATATTTCTTAAAAATCTCATCTGGTATGGAAATTTCCGGTCAATCTCTTTCACTAATCACGCTTTCCATACATATGAAATAGTTTACTATGGCATTTAATCGACCAAAACATTCTAATTTGTCAGAATGCCAAGTAATAATGAATAAATGTTTGTTAAAAAATCATCAGATAGCTATCTTCGAGGTTTACAGCGAGAAAACGGTATCTGGTAGATCAAATAATTCTTAGCAAAAAATATTTGTAAGACAATCAGGTATTGAAATATGAAAAACAATTCGCAAAATATCACAATATTTTCTAATAAAATCAACTTAGAACCAATATAGTTTTTAGTCCATTTATGAACAAAAATATATTTGGTTAGAAATTTTAGGTTATTTTATAAACAAAAAATTATAGATTCGTTGAATGCTTAAACATTGTAACACCGACCAAGAACGGTAGGGTCTACGTCCCGGAGCCACTCGTCGTCAACGACGACCAAGTACCGTTCAATACCTCCCAAAGGGACTCCACAAGCAGGTATGTGTCTGCTGACATATGTATTTAGCTATAGAATATGTTGCTTGAATCATTATAAAAAATAATCTTTTAATTATATTATATTAATATGTACTGCGAAAGCTTATTAATTCAATCATAATATCATACCATATGTTATATATATGTTATAATGTTAGCATTTTTCGAGAATAAAGTTTGCATGATGAGTGTATTATTGTATCTCATTTTTAAAGCCTGTAGTACAATTACTTTAAAGAATTGGCAATTATCTCTTATAGAAAAAAAGGTTTCAAATTCGATTCTAAGAGAATTTATTAAAATATAATAAGATGACTCCATTATTCTCCTTTTTTGATTTAACTCGAACTCATTGATTTCATTCCCAAAAATTGGTGTATCAATGTTTCTAGTTCCTGCCATTATAAAAAGCTTTTCAACATTTCTTTTTCACGTTAATTTTTTTTTGCCGAGAGTGAATCATATTTCTTCGAATATTTCCTAAGAGCACTGATGATAAGTACTTGACAATTAGTCAGTCAAATTTCAATAAATTAACTAAAATTTTTGTCTTTGTATTCTCTTTGCTATTCGAATTCATTACTTTTTCACTTTGAATAATAAAACAACAATCGTAGCCAGCTCAGAAACTTGAAAATTATTAATATCCCAAATCACACCAGATTATACAATTTAAATTCCGAAAATTAAAAAAAAACTCAAAATTAAAAGTTAAAAAGCGAAGATGTTTTTAAATTTATTGAAATGACCGACACGAAGGCTACAAAAGCTACACAAACAGAGGCTCCGAGTGCAAGTAGTTGGAAGAGCACTAGCCAGGAAAACGTAGACATAGAAGAAATGCGTGCCATGGTGCATCGTATGTTTAATAATATCAAAAACCCAGCGGAGAAGAGAAAAGATATTCGCAACATTGCAAATTTATTTAATGTTAGTAATGCCTTTCTAAATGGGATCATTCTTAATTAAAATTTGTTTTCATTCGTTACAGATCACTCAACGTGAGTTGAAGCAGATCTTACAGCTGCCAAAACCCTCGAAACCACTAAAACGCCAAAAATCAACATCAAGTGAGGGAAGTGACTGTGACTGCAGTTACTGTCAACGCTGTGATAGCGAAATAAGAATAAAACCCTCTGGTAGGAAAGTTAAAAAAAGAACACCTAAAAAGCGCCCGAAGAAGAAAAAATGCGCTTCTCGGTACAAGGCCACCTCTAAAATGAAAAAGAAACGAAAGACTAAACGGTAATAAAAAAACGTCAAGTATTTCGATTAAATGTTTTAATGTTTTTTGATTTGATGCCGTAAGAACGACTTAGACTTATGGGAAGGCATGAGTAATAAAAAAATGTTTTACATATATTTTATAGTAAATGAAATTGAATGATGTGTCTCCTATGGTGTACTTCATGAGGACGTATCTCTATGACGATATTTACATTCTGAAGATTATCGAAATGATAGTGATGTATAGTGATGTATGGCCATATGAACACCATCCTCTTTGACTTTATTCGATTTTGATTCTCTTCTTTTAGACAATGACATTCACCGAAAATAGCGGTAGAGAGCGTTGTCTACAATTGAAAATTCCAACTTGAAAGTCTATGGAAACTTCTTATTTAGGCATTCATTGGAACTATTTGCCTAGTTTCATTGTGACAAATTATACAGTTAATACCTTGAAATTAGAAAGTTCACTATATATCAGTTTGGAATTACATGGAATGTGCCTGTCTAGATTAAATGATAAGATATATATTTTAGTATTTCAAAAAAAGTTTTTTCAATATTTGATTATTTTATGTACAGAATGAAAAACTATCTGCACTATATGTGGACCTATTTGCCATGGTTTCATTTCTTAATAAAATTCTTTATGAAAACTTCTTTAAAATAAAATTTTAATTTTTTTATTTATTTTTTTTATTAGTTGTTTTGTTATTGTTTTTTATTTTGCGGACTTTATTAATTTTTAAATACAATAAACGTAGCACACTCTTTCTTGGTGATCCGTTCAAAATCTTATAGAAAAGATTGTGGTGGCAATCACAAATAAGAACCAGAAAGGTGGTAACACCAAAAGAGAAGAAGAACGAAAAATAAAGTTGCAAGAATACCAGTTCGGTCTACATTTCATAAATGCATTGTAATATCTGTAATAATAAATTGTACCTGTAATTCCTTTCGATTAAAGAAATAAAATAACATTTGAAAATTATAACAAAAAGATCACTTTAGATGGAGAGATTGTTCTTAGGCGGTTTCTTTTATGTTTCGTCGATTAAAGGTTGAAAAAAGACCAATCACTACTTATTTACATAAAAGGTTATTGAATTCTTTCCAGTACGGAACGTTAGCTGAGCCAACTGAATACAAATTAATGGGCTAGTAGCAGACTTTCGAATTCATCTATTTAGTTTCAATATCGTTTAATATCATTAAAAATGCATTTAAACGTTATTATTAATATTATTATATTATTGACAACTTAGTCTATTTACATAGGATTTCCACAAATCTCGGTTTCTAGCTATATGTCTTAACTAATTAAAAATTTTATTCGTTTTCTTAATAACGCTTCTACGCCATGTCATATTGAGGCGTGCTCTGTTTCTTGCACATTGGAGATTCCATTATAGGTCTACATGTACTGTTTCGTTTGCGTCCTTTCGAAGGGTGTGCCTAATCTACTTGTATTTCCTGTGCATTATATCTTTCTCAATAGGGATTGTTTAGATTTACGCGTTAAAAGAATGGAATGTTGTACCAATTTTTAACTAACATAAATAAAATCTACATAAATATTTAACACTATAGAAGCTACAATACTACTTCTATATAATACACAATATAACTACGTTTGAACACTAAACATGGCAAGTATCACTCACTTTAAGTAATTTTGGTTGATTTCTGAAATAATTTAGATTAATTAATATATATTTTTTATATTTAATTGAAATTAAATATGTATTCTGTCGAGTAATGATATGACATTTTACAATTTTTTGATAAATAAGATTTAAGTCCTACTCTTTTCTTTAAATGAAGATTTTATTATAGCATCTGGAAATTGATGTGTAATATATTTATTATAAACAACTTACCAAAACCCACTCCTGCAAACACTAAACTTCAACACCGGCTCAAATAGCTTCAAAATAAACAAAGTTCCAAGACTTAATCTACACAATCTTCGGTTTTAACTCAATCTTAATTATTAAATCTACATGTTTTAATCGACTATAATTATTTTCTTGAATACATCACACACATTGTCATCCTATCTTTTCTTTGGAAGCTCTGTCTCAGTAAATAAAAATTTATTAAAGCAACGCTAAACAACGGCTGAGTATACCCCAGCAAAATTGTAATGTGCGAAAGAATCCGTGTCGTTAGAACGTCAATTATGATAGCGGAGACCATTTAACTTAATAGAAACTATTATACATTAAGACTGAAAAGTTTTCGGAAATTCTCATTTAAAATTCGCGCGCTGTATATTTTTCGATATTTTAAGTTTATGTAGTTTGGCAGCACTGTCCTTAATTACTATGCCAAAAATGAGCTCGATCTGTCAGACAGTTCGTTTACGGCAGCTGTTGAAACCAGTTCACCTCAGTAGTGCGTTGCGAAATGTCTTCGACGGTCGTACGACCGTCCTGGAAGGCTTTGTACCACTCATAAACTTGAGTTTTCGATAAAACTGATTCCCCATAAGCCTTTTGTAGCATTCGCAACGATTCTGCACACGAAATTTCGTTCGAAACACAAAATTTGATGCAAACTCTTTGTTCAATATTTTTTTCCATTGTTTTTTTCGCAACGCCCTACTGAGGTGAACTGGTTTCAACAGCTGCCGTAAACGAACTGTCTGACAGATCGCGCTCATTTTTGGCATAGTAATTAAGGACAGTGCTGCCAAACTACATAAACTTAAAATATCGAAAAATATACAGCGCGCGAATTTTAAATGAGAATTTCCGAAAACTTTTCGGTCTTAATGTATTTAATAGAAAGGTTTCGAGCAGTAGCGAACTACAACAATAATGACTACAAGTTCAACCCTTGGTACTTGCAGTCTTAAAAAAATTATTCCAAGACCACTGATGATGGATATTTGGCAATACTTGAATCAGCTACTGTTCGATATCTCTCTATAAAACTTTTTATTTATTCGAAATTAATGTGATTACCAACAAAGCACTAAAGATGAAAATAAACATCACCAACAATTATCTAAAAAATTTGATATTGTGCACTCGAAGAACATGATCATCTCAGATAAATAGAAATCTTGAAAAAGATTTCGGATACTTTGTGTATACTTTATAGGACTAGACTTATAGGTTAAAGGTTGTTGAGAAGCGGCTCTGTAAACTAAAAATGTAAACAGAATCTCCGATTATATGGTATACATATCTAAACAAATAATTATCTTATTTCTGCTTTTCACTTCCATTTGACTACGAACCAAAATGGGTTCTTATAAATAATTTCGGTTTGTCTGTAAGACTTTAAGTTCTCCGATATTTTGTAATGCATATATTTATGTTAAATAAGAAAAAGTTAAATAAATTTACTAGTAATAATGAGATATGCAATAAATGCAGTGAAAACAGTATGTCTTCTAAAATTAAGACACAAGCGTATTAAGTAGAAAACACATCTGCTTGAAACTCTAAGAGATGCGCGACCTTCGCCCCAAATCAGAATTTGTGGGAGTTTTGTATTTGCCGTCAACTCACTTGCGGATTAATGGAAGTGAAATTGTGAACCTGCGATTAGTAGAGGTAACTGTGAGGCGAACACGCACTGACACATATTTTGGATGACGGAAGCAGGTTGCTGTGGTATGCTCAGGTTGCTGATTTATACCTTAAATTATTTATTGCGCTTGTGGTATCTGTGCAGTGTAGGATGTGCGATTTGGGCACCTATCCGGATATGTAACAATAGCTGAGTTCTAAGCTTGTTGTGTTCATATTAGTCTCTTCATACATGTTTGCACCTTCATTAATTTAATACATTATCGTAATAATAGCTTTCACACACCAGTAACTGCACACACACAATTAGAGGTTTGGGAGTGAGTAAGTTTATAAAGCTTTGTTTATATTAAATGCAGAGTAAATTGATACATTGCTAAAATTACAGTTAAAATTTTACACGTAGTTGCAACAAATTGAAATAAATATATGTTTAACATTTAATTCATTAACAGTTCAATTATTTGTGTCCCATTAGGTAAACTTCAATTGAAAAACATTTTTTCATTTTATAAATATTATTAGGGAAATATATTTCTAGTATTGGTACCCACCAATTAAAAAATCCTAAAATAGAATGACGTCTGCACTAGAAATAACATATTTTTGTGTTCAGTAAATCTAAAACTTCAAGAACATCAAAATCAACTAAATTCAATACAATCTGAGATATTGTATATTGAAGTTGGTGGAAATCTTTTGGTTCTTAGTATCACACATAAAGTCGTCAAATAGTTATACCTAACGTTGGTGTAGTAAGAGTAAAAATTTTTTATTAAGTCATTTGTTTTTTAAAGACACAGGAAAACGACTTATATAAAAACTGCGCAACCAATAAGCTCCTTTTGTCCAGTTTGATTTCATCTAGTGCGGAACTACACTGTTTTGAGTTCGCTTGTGGGTTTGCTGGCAGACTACATTAGCTGATTTGTGGGGCACGGTTGTAAAAACACATTCGCCCAGAGAAACATTCATTTGAATGGAAATTTGCGTTTAAATGCAATTTTGGCAAGAATTTATAGCCAAAAACTAAATTTTCTTTTAGACCAGGTACGTAATACTACGCTGGAGGTTAGGTTCAAACGCATGTGGTTCAAGCGGTCTGAATTCATTATACCCAACTGAATTGAGTTCGTAATCGCACTTTCTAGTTTCGGTTTGTTCGTTTGTCTGTACGTTTCCTGTTCGTTTGCGGCGCCCCACTTTGAATGCTCTTCCAAAACGTGACCATTTTGCTAATAGTTTATTGCTTTATTTAAACCTACACTATTGATGCTTGAGCATTTGTCTGCTCTCATTACTAAGTGCACTTAATTGAAGTTTTAAAATTCGATGATAATTATTTGTGGCAAAAATGTTGAAAGTACATTCAGAATAATGAAGACTTATTAAAACACACTAGAAAAATGACGTAGAAATTTGAAAAATGTGTTTGTTTCCTATCCATTTCCATTTAAACTGTGGTAAAATATGTGTGTTATGCAAGGTATGTTTTGTGTTCTCTAAGGGTCTTCCGCATCTAATTTAAATATTAATCGCATTGCTCTGAACCTGAGGACATTGCTATATTTTTTTTTGCAGAAAATAGTGTTAAAAATAAAAATTTTGTCAGAGTTTTAATTCTTCATTGGCCATACGTGAATATGTCAAGCCATTGTAGTTTTCATAATTTTCCTGCTTATATGGTTAAAATATTGAATGGCTATTTATTACAGCTAACAAAATTCTACCAATCACATTATTTGTCGTCAGATCATAATTGACGATTTTAGTTTAGCATATCTATTCTGCTGCATATTTGTTGCAATATTTTTTGCTTAAATAGCGCCCTGCTTACTCTTCCTGCACCATAAGCGTTCACTACTCATAACAACATAACATGTTCTATTAGCTAATAGATTCCATTATAATTTTTTACTCTGTACACTGACTACCTCGGTTTTTGTGACAGTCTTCTTGTCGATTATTTGTGCTCAAATGGTTGTTGTTGTGAACAACCAAAGGCCGTCACTCCAGCTAAACTATACTTGTGATGTTATCTACATTGTGACCGAAAAGCTTTCGGAAATTCTCATTTAAAATTCGCGCGCTGTATATTT